CGTTTCGTCCTGTGTAAGCGAGGACAACAAGCCCCTCCCTCCTGGGGTTGCTGTGAGGACTGCATGACATAATTCTTATAAAGTGCTTGGCATGGGGCCTGGCACTCAGTGAGGGTCTTATGTTAGCTACTGATAACATGGCATAACCCAGAAAAGAGGAAGTCCTTCCAGGTGTGCATCAAAGGAAGCATCAGGCGTCGTCATCCTAGGCTGCAAGGGGCCCTTAAAGCATTCTGGGGGTGGGTGCCCACCCTCTGCTCCTGTGGCTTCTCTCTCTAAGTACTGACCACATGCCAATCTGCCTCGCCCCCAATGCCCAATGGACGGCAGGAATTGGGCTGGTTCCTCTGGGTCTCCCAGGGCCTGGGCCACCGTGGGTGCTGGGAAGAGTTGCTGCACTGATTCAATCACGTGACAATCGGCTGGGTTACTGAGAGACAAGTCTAGGATGGTTCCTGGGTGGGGTCGGGTGGGGAAGTAGGGGGCAGAAAGGGTCACTAGGACTGTTGCTCATGACGCACATTCATGACACACACTGAAGGTGGAAGGAAGGCCAAGCGAGGCCCCAAACGACATTTTCAGAAATGACCTACTAGAGAGATTTAGACAGAGTTCCTGTTAATGCAGAAAGTGGCAGAGCAGGGCCCTCAAGAGGAGAGCCAGAACACTTCACTATAATAATGATAATACCATCAATAATAACTATTGAGCACTTACTATATGCCAGCACAACCAATACTTCATTGTGCATTATCTCATTTGTCTCTTTAAAAAACTGTGTGAAGTATTTGTTATTCCCTTTTTTGGGAGAGGAAACAGAGGTTCAGAGAAGTTAAGCCCCTTGCCCGAGGTAACTCAGGGTGGAACCAGAACTCAAACTGTTGCCCCACTGCCTCCTTGCTCTCAGAGACATCAGGAGAGGTTCCTGCAGGTGCCAGGGCCAACTAACTCACAGGAAATGGGAAGGGCTACAGGCGTAGCACCACCCTCACCCCCATTTCCCAGACTGGCCTTCTGGGTGACTGAGGTCCTGCTGCTATCTCATGGGGCAGTGGCAGGCTCAGGCATGTGTAGCTGGAGTGCAGCACGGTGCCACCTCTAGGGCCTGGACCCTGGGCATTGTTCCCTCCTTTCAGCTGTGCCCCCTCCCCTATAGCTGGGCTCAGGGTTTCTGTGGCCCAGAGGGAGACCCGCAGCCTGGTCAGGGCCATAAAGCTAGGGGTGACTTGGTGCCTGTCTCTCAATGACCAGGCACTCCAGGAGTTGACACAGTGGCTCATTCTAGATTCTTTTGGTGCCCCACAGTGCCTGCAAACAGGTGTGGGTGCCAACCTCCTTGCCCTCCTGTCTTAATTCCTGTCCTCTCTACATCTGCTGCAGCCCTTTGGGGCTCACTTCATCAGGGCCAGGTAAGAACAAATGTGCTTGACTGTTTCTTGGGGCCTAGTCCTGTGTTTCTAGCAGAAATTATGATCTCTTTAAGGTCATAGACCTTCCTCTGTGTTTGTTGCCCATGGTGCCTGGCATGGGGCAACCCAGTGCAGAGGGCAGAGAGTGGGCACTGACTGGGTTGGAATCCTCTCTATCACTCCCTGCTGTGTGACCTTGGGTGATGACCTGACCTCTCTAAGCCTCAGGGACCTCATCAGGAAAAGGGGGTAATAGGGAACCCTTCTTCATAGGGTCATTGTGCAGAGAGAGGTGCTTTTGAATTAAAAGTGTACACTTAGCCCCGGGCCCATGTGGGCTCAAGAGATGTTACTGCTTGCTACTGGAGACAGAGTTGGAGCCCCTCGCCAGAGCAGCCTTGCCTGACTACCCTCTTTAAAGTAGAAAAAAACCTGTTGCCGTCTCACAGAGATACTATAGTGCAGAGTAGAACTGCCCCACGGTTTCCCAGGAGCAGCTGGTAGATTCAAACTACTGACCTTTTGGTTAGCAGGTGTAGCTCTAAACCACTGTGCCACCAGGGCTCTGTTTAAAGTAGGGCTCCCATTTTTTCTTACAGCACCCTGTTCTTTTTCTTCAAAAGCACTCAGCCTAGTTTGTAATTATCTACGTGTTTGTTTACTTGTCCACAAGAGCAGGAACTGTGTCTGTTTTCCTCTTTTCAATCTCCAGGGCCAAGAGCTGGAGCACAGAAAATGTGGAATGAATGATGCCCCCTTTTCCAGTCTTCTTCAGACAGAGCAGGACTGGACTTCCCTGCTTTTCTCAGAGGACCTGACTTTCAGAGCCCCCTATCTTCCCCAGTCCCCACCAGATATGATCCTGCAGCTGGTGCAGCCCAGAAGGGCTGGATAGTCTCTTCTGTGCCAGCCACAGAATAGCTGGGTGAGAATAGCTGAATGGGGCCAAGGATGGGTCTTACACTCACCTGGTTGGCCATGGCTTCAGGTCCTTGATGGATGATGGGGTCATTCTGGAACTGCTTCTGCCTGTCACCAGTCTGTAACTGTCTGGACTGTGGCCCCACAGCCACACTAGGTCTCCACCAGCACCCTGCTTTATCCACCCACCTTAGCTGGGGCTAGGCTGGACTTTCAGGAGAGACGTCCTCCCTGCCTCTCACTTTTCTCCAGCCCTCCCTTTAGGTCTCCCCTGCCTCCTGTCCTCCACTGAGACCAGGGCCCCTGGCCATGGCAGATGTGTGAGGCTGGGGGAGGTACTCTGAATCCAGATGTGATTGTGTTTATGTTTCCAGAGAGTAAGGGGTTGGAGCTCTGGACTGGAGTCGCTGGGGGAGGGGTGGTCTGGCTCCAGCCCCCTGCCCTAGCCTTCCCTCCCCCCACATCCCTCTAGCTTGTGTATCTGGCCCTGTCCCTCTCAGAATCACACACTCCAAGTCCCATAGCATGAAGCTGAGCCATCCTCCAGGAAGGACCACTCTTCATCTAAAGGTGAGAAGACCAATGGAAAGATGCCTGGCTTTGGAATCTCAAGACCTACTGGCTGTGTATGACCTTGGCTCAGTTACACAGTCTCTTCGAGCCTTGCTTTTCATCATTTCTAAAATAGGGATAACACTCCTGACCTCAGAGCCAGTGTTGACCTGGTTTGAGAATATGTGCACAGGGCTCTCCAGCTATCAGTTCATGATTAAGCCCAGGGCTGTGTCCTACTCCCAGCTAGGGCTTGCATGGGTCCAGTTCCTGTCACAAGGTGATTCTAAAGCCGAATACCAACCAACCCCTCCTCCCTCCCCCGCTGCAGCTGCAAACATTTTGTTTTGCCATTAGAAGCGACTTACTTAAGAAAAGCAGAATTTTACAGGCAGTTTACAGGCTGGCATTGTTCAGTAGTTTCCAAAAGCTGAAGGAGGGCGGAGGTTGCCGGCAGCCTCCGATAAGCTGGGATGGAAGGGAAGTGAAAAGTGAGTCTCGTGTGATGGACACTTTCTCTAGCACAGCCGCACGCCCATGGGTGGAATCTCGGAGGCACTAGGCGGCGGGAGGCCCAGACAAGAGTGTGGCGGATCCAGCTTCCTTAGTCCTGCTGAACAGCCAAGGCCAGGCACCAAGGGTCGGGTACCGGGCCCACAGGAGAAAAGGCAACCTCAGGCTCTCAGCAGCCCCGGCCCCGTAGCGTTATGGGGCCTTACGGGTCACCGCAGACCCAGCCTGGGAACAGCTTGCAGAGTTCAGCCGGGGGCAGGTGGGAGTTCCGGCTAGGGCGGCCCCGCGCGCAGCCAGCGCACACCCGACAGGCGCGGAGAGGGAGCTCTGAGATGCCTGGCTGCGCCGGGCTGAACAGAACAGGTCAGGAATAGCGGTGGGAAAGTTGGGGGTGGAGGACCCCGGCGGGAGGCTGTCTAGCTTTTCCCTCAGGGCGGCGCAGTTCCCTTCCTACGTGCCTCCCTTCTCGGCCAAATGAAGCAGTCAGGGCTCGGCAGTGGTCAGCACGCTCAGACTATGGTTTTAATAGACGTACATGGACAAGTCGATATAGACAGATTTATAATTCTATACAGTCAGTCCGACATACACAGGGACGCTGTAAACAGGGGTGCGGGCCGGAGAGCGGGTGTGCAAAGTGGGCGCGGCGCGGAGCCCTCGCCGCGCCCCGCGCTCTCCTGGCTCGACTCTTGCACGGCAGGCAGGGTGGAAGGGGCTGTTCGCCGGGACGGGGACCACCTCCTAGCCCAGGAGCGGAGCAGAGGGTCTGGATGTGCGGCTTAGCTCGGGAGCTGGGATGCTCTGAGGCGAGCCCTCACCATCCCTTCCGTCACATCAGCACCGCCGGCCGCGGCTCCGTACCCTTAAAATCGGGCTACGGGGCGCGCCGGAGCCGTGTGCGGCATTGAGGCGAGTCCCAGATCCCGGGCTGGGCAATGCCATCCCCAGCGCAACGCCCACTCCAATTCGGATCGGAATCGAGCTAAGGCGCGCTCGGACGGCCTGGCTCGGAAAGGGCGCCTCGGTTTGTACAGGACGGAGGGCTCCCAGGCCTGTCTGGGGAAGACGCCGAGACCCGAGGCCGGCCAGGCTCCACGCAGTCAGTTCGCAGGCGCGGCCGACACGGCCGATGGCACTCTGTCCGGGTCCAGCGCGGCGGGAACGCGGGCGACAAGGACCGCCTTCCGGGCTGCCAGGCCTCGGCGCTTGTCTCCTGCGCCGCGGAGTGGCCCACAGGAGCCCGTGGGAGCGAACACACAACGTCCGCGCCATCCCGAGGGAAATTGCAACTCATCCGCTTTTTCGCTGCACTTTCTCCGACGTCTTTTTGATTTTTGTTTTTTGTTTGTTTTGGAGGGCAGAGTGGGGTCCAGAAAAGCAAACACATAAACCAACCGGTAGGCGGGGGAGTTGGGGAGGAGAGGGCCGCGCAGGCGCCCGATTCGCGGCGCGGCGAGCGTCCT